GTAACATTTGTAGTACCACGAATTCTCCTTGTAATGAACTATCAAAATTTTTATTAAATATTTTAAAACCTTATACAAATAAAAATGACACATTCATAAAAAATACACAACATTTTTTAAATAAATTATCAAATATTGAATTTAATTCAAATAATACTTTGGTAAGTTTTGACATAAATAGTTTATTTACGAATGTGCCATTAAATAAGACTTTAAGTATAGTCAAGACAAAATTAGAGAATGATGATTCATTGGCAACTAGAACAAGACTAAACATATCGGCTATAATGGAGTTATTAACATTATGTACTGATAATACATATTTTCAACTAAATAATGAATTCTATAAACAAAATTTTGGTCTAGCAATGGGCTCTAGTTTATCTCCATTCTTAGCCGATATATTTATGGAAAATTTTGAAACAAATATCATTTCTAAACAAAATTTCAAACCCATAGTATGGTGGAGGTATGTAGATGATGTATTCTCAATATGGCCTCATGGATCAGAGTTGTTGGACACATTCCTAAACGATATAAACGATAAAGAAGAGACAATAACATTTACCATGGAAAAGGAATATAATAACACGCTACCTTTCCTGGATGTTTTAATCTCTAAGAACGATACTGGATATGAGACTCAGGTGTATAGAAAACCAACACACACCAATAGATATTTAAATTTTAGATCAAATCACAATATTAATGTAAAAAAGGGAATAATTAAATCCTTATACGATAGAGCCAAAATTACTTGTTCTAACGAAAATTCGTTCTTGGAGGAGAAACATTTGTTAACATCTGTTTTATTAAAAAATGATTATCCTTTATCGTTTATAAATAAGGAATTTTCAACAATCGATCGAATAGAACAGAACAACTTAGAACGAGATCCTACAGCATACACAAGGAATAATATGAGGAAAATAACAATACCGTACATAAAAGGATTATCAGAAAAACTTAAAAGGATAGGAAATAAATTCAACATTTCAACAACATTCAAAACAACAAACACGTTGAGATCTATTTTGTCCAAAACCAAACCTAACAATGAACAAGAAAGGACAAAGAATTGCATTTATAAAATACCTTGTGAATGCGATCAGTTTTATTTAGGTGAATCATCAAGGCCATTAAATGTTAGAATAAGTGAACATCAATCTTATATTAAAAATAGAGAATTTGATAGATCTCAAATATGTAAACACGCATGGGATAATGAACATAGGGTTCAATGAAATAATTCAAATATAGTCCTAAAAGAAACGGATGGCAAAAAAAAAAATCAAAGAAGCGGCTCTAATTATGCTAAATGAGGCCAATTGTGTCGCAAATTCCTCGGCAGAATGTAGTAGGATCTGGTTACCAATATTGAAAGAGGAAGTTATTAATAAGAAAATACCAGTATTAGTAAGTCAGTAACATATAGCGGATACAATATTTATGTTTTTTAAATAACGTAACATATAAAATCAGAATTTTGATGTTTGTTGAAGGTAAACTAAATTCACGAACAAATACTTACAATGTCGGGATAGTATTATGAGGTTTTTTTCCTGGTTTTCCCTCATAATTTACTATGGAATCAATAACAGGAGAATTTTACTGTCATCATGTCATGTGTTTGTCTTTTTAAAGACGAATTACATGGTATGATTTTTTCAGACGGATATTCTCAAGTTAAAGTTGATTTCATGTAATCGAATGAACTATCTTATAAGTAAAGTCGTCCCAGGAGCGCAACTCAACAATATTGGCAATATCATTTTAAAGTCGTCTACTTTAAAATGCATAATGTATGTCTGAATTGTCAATATAAATGAGTCAGATAAAATTAAATTATTAGAAGAATTTTTTCACTAAGTAACAAAAAACAAAATTTGTTTAATTTACTGTTTGTATTTTGAGAACGATTTCCGAATTGGAAATTGAAACGTCAATAAACGTATTTTTATCTTTAATTGTGGCTTATTCCCAGTTATAAATAGTAATAAAATCTAAGATCACAAAAAAAACAGATATGGATCAATATGTTGTAGTATTTTTTAGAAAATCCTAAAGTATACTCATATAAAAATTTCCATAGTTTGTTGTATATTTACACACATCAATCAGTAACTTTTCAACTCATGCCAGTCCGGGATAGTAACTGAACCATATTTTAACTTTCAGACGGGGAGGATTTATAGTGATCCTGAAACCGTTATTTTCCAAGTAATGTACATGCATAATGCGAAGAGCCTAAGGCCCAGTTTTTGAGCCTTTTCAGACGTCGTTGGGGCTCTTTGGGGATTTGTAAAATTCAAGTGGAATGCATGGCTCGGGATTATTTTAATTTATTTCAGTTTTGAGTTCCAACTTCGGGGGCAATGTCGTATCTTGAAGGGAGTCGGTCATAGTCAGTATATTTATATCTAAGCATTGTAGGTTAATTGCAAGTCAAATACAGCGTCGAAAAAAGATAAGCTACAAGAAAACTAGAAGAGAGTTAATATATACAGGGTGGTCCTTAGGTAATTGTACAAAAATAAACTGTAGATTGTACACTTTAAAATATGAATATAAAATATAAATTTCATGTTTGCCAACATTTATGTATAAAAATTTACAACTGGACACTAGTGAATATCAGAAACTATAATTTGATATATACTTTGATATAACTGATAGAGCGCGCCTCATATGCCACATATGTGGCATACATTTGCAGGTAACGTTTTCGCTCTTTAAGTTACCGGTATTTTTAATAAAAAATGTTAAAGATAAAATATTTTAACAAAAAAAAGGTATACTTGCTAATATCTTCAAAACTTAACAGTTTTTGAGATAATCGCATTTTAAAAATCAACTACATAATTCTGATTTATCGGTAAAACATCAATACTTGGTACTGAAATTTGGTATAAAATACCTTTAATAAAGTTAATAGGCAATTAATTATTAAATAAAATAAAAATATCAGCATTATAAAACAATAGGATCTGATAAATAACAGAATAATTGGATTTTACATCAAACATTTTACGTTTTGTATTAAATTAAAGTCATAATCAAAACATTTTATTTACAAACCAAATTAAGAAATAGTTAAAGTAAATAACATTAAACTTTTTGTCAAAGTAAGTGTTCAATATGTCCACCATTTTCTCTAATTCATTTGTCAATACATTCCATAAAATATCGTCTCATATTAAATAGCGTCATTGGTTCTAAAGAAACTACTGCAGTATTTATTATAAGTGTTAGTATAATATTAAGTAATATTTTGAAATATTTATGAATTAAATAATTATATTAATATCTCACCACAAGAATATGACTACCATAAAAAATCCAACGTTCAGGAAAGTTGTATTTAAATACTGTCTCACTCTGCTTTCTCTATAATGTAATGGTTGACCATCTTGTAGGAACCACATATTTCGCCTTAAATTTGAGAACAATTCTTACAATAAATCAATAAAATTATTTTATAAAAAATGTAAATAAATCTCGACATTCAAATTGCAAAGTAATTCGAATATCTGTAAAAAATAATTATCAATGGTTCCAAACCATGGGATATGCATTTTAAATATGAATTTTGTGGACTTGGTGTTATTTACCTTTACTAAATGTGTGCACTATTATTTACCATCCGGACATAGTGTTACGTATTCTGGTACCTGGTGGAATTGTCATAAACTAAAATAATTGTAACCATTTTATTTAGTTCGCAATAGCACAGTATAAAGAGGTTCCACAGTAGAACCACTCTCGGAAAAATTGGAAGTAAAGTCTGTCAGCGCGCAGGGCGACTGCGCTTATTTCTTAGTTGCTCGAGAATCATTCTTCTATTGCTAGTCGCGTAGAAACGTAAGGGTGAACAGTGCCGTATTTTGGTTAAATTGAGTTAGTGTGAATAATAATTGTTAGTATTGTGAAGTACATATTGTGTGAACATGAGTAAAAGTCGAAGTGGTATTAGTCGGTGTTCAGCGAAAATGTGCAAGAACAATTCAAAAAATTGTAACTACAGTATTTTCCGATTTCCCAAGGAAGCTATTAGGTACGTATATAATTTTAAATTTGCTTATTTAACTACCTTAACAGAATAGCATCAATTATTATTGGAAATAGTAAAATGTTAGGTGCAGTTTTTTTAAATACTTCAAATACAATAATTATATTTACAAAGAGGAAAAATTTTCTAAAGATATGTTGATATATATTATATGTTTATATATATATATATATATATATATATATATATATATATATATATATATATATATATATATATAAATTCGGGTTCAAAACGTCCTCCGACGTTGTCCGATGCCTTGTTGCCAATATCTTCTATCATTGCAATTTTCATCTTCTAATCCTCGTACACTCATTGCTCGTCTTACTCTTTGTATCCACGTCATTCTTGCCCTTCTTCGTTATCTGTTGTCTGTAGGTATCCATTTCATAATTTTCTTTTACAGTCTCTCCTCCCCATTCTCTGAACATGTCCGTACCACGTTAATTGTTTATTCTCAATGCATATATGACCGTTTCCTGTAATTTCATTCTTCGCTTTACTTAATCCTTTCTAACCCGGTCCAATCTCGATGTTCGACTGGTGTTTCTTTATTCTCCATGTTTCGAATCCGTGTACCAATGTGTTCTTAATCATGGTGTTGTATATTCTCATTTTTCTTTGTTTCCCTATCTCGGTACTCCACAAAACTCCGTTCAATGATTTAATTATCATTCTTTCTTTATTTATTCTGCTCTTAATTTTGCATCTTCCTTATCTTCTTTGTTGAAATGAATTCCCAAATACTTATATTTCTCACAGCTAGTTATTTTCTGATTATTATCCAATATCATACTAGTTGAATCTTCACCTAGGCATAAATATTGTGTGTTTTCTACATTCATATATAATAGTATATATTTATGAAAGTTAATAATAGCCGGCAAATTTAGTGTTGTCTAAATAGTGAGTAAATTTAATTTATTTTCAGAGCACGGAATTGGGCAATGTTGTGCCAGAGAGAAGATTTGTTGAAGAAAACTAACTTAAATTTGAGCAGATTATGCAGTGTGCATTTTGAAACTACTATGTTTTCAAATAAAACTCGGAGCAGGTTATGCAAAAACGCAGTACCAAGTTTATTTCCTTCAATAGAAGACAGTCCTAACCAACATTCGAATATTGATCAAGGTGAGTTTTTATGTTTGAAAGCTGAAATTTCCATGTAAACCTAAGAATATTCTGCTATTTATATTGTTGACGTACAAATTTGTTGCATTGTAGTGTTGCAATAATTTATAGCTTGTTTACTATGCAAACAATTTTACTATTTGTTATTAAAAACATATCAAACTTATTTTGAACCTATTTCTTGTGTCATGTTATAGTTTATTAGTTTTTGGTGTAAAAAACCACAACTTATGAATTTTAATTGTAATTGTATTGTAATTTTTATATTAATAACAAAATAAACAATGAATTTTACTGCAAGTATATGTAAAAATTTTTTTTTGCATTCAACTCCTTTTATACATATATGAAAATAAAAATATATATTTTCATTAAAATATTGATACTATCTTTGGTACAATATTAATCCAATCCCTATAGCATTAAATATAAAATATTGTGCAGATTGACTCACATATAAATTTGTAACGGCGAATGCGTGTACAGAAGTACACTTCTAGAACTTCTACCGGCAGTCCCACTGGACTGCCACACCCGTTTTTTTTTCAAGTTAAATTGTGGCTTATATTATTAGAATAGTTGATATTCGTTTAATTTATTAAAAAATAGACACTTGCGATACCAAATAGATTCACCAAAACAGAAAGTACTATCTGGTGATTTGCAAAAATTTTATGATGCCAGTGATTATTCTGTACATTGTATGATGTGGGACGAATCGAAAGGGGCCCGTGGTGCAAATGAAATTGCCTCATCAATTTTAGAATGGGCTGACAATACAATTCTAGGTTGTCAAGTAGAGGACATCACTCTTTGGACCGATAACTGCTATGGACAAAATGAAAATATAAGTATTATAATGTGTTATTTTTGGATACTGCATACGTACTCTCATTATTTAAGGGTAAAACAAGTAAAATGTTCAGTAAAAATCAAGAGATTTTACTGAAAGGGCACAAAGATACATATAAAAGCAGGCAGTGTTCATGCTTTGATCGAGAGAAAAAGAAAAAAACTCTCCAATTTGGTAATAGGAAAATCATGGGACTGGCAACAGCTAGTTATGCAAACATCAGGTAAATGCACAGTGCACAATATGGAACTTGCAGATTTAAAAAACTTCAAAACGTTGTTTGATAAGAAACTGTCACCTAATCCTCCTTTTGTAAGTAGAAAAAATAATGTTAACAAAGAGCCTGTTCTACTGTCAACACGTATTTTACTACAAGTCCAACAAGAACACATTTTAAAGCTCTTTTATAAGACCGATTTCAATAATCAAAATATGTATGAGGTGGACTTCATGAGGTATCGAAGACAGCAAGAAAGGTTTCCAGCCCAATTAAGTTAAGCTTTAGTAATCCCAATACCAATCATTAAACAAAAGTACAATGACTTAATTGCACTATTACCTCTTGTTCCGTCGGTTTTTTATGCGTTTATTAAAATTTAACACACAGCAATGTAGCTACAAACGATTACCCCCAAGAAGATGAAGATAATATGGAGCCTCTTTAACAATTTTGAGACTTGTCGTCTATAATTTTACTTAATGATCATAACATATTATTTGGTTTTAATAGTCGATCGGAAAGCCAAGCGGGCTGGGCGGCTGGCTCCTACTTCGCTTCAATGCGAGAGATGGCAGTTCAAATCCCCAGCTCGGTGTACAGAAAAACAAAAAGGCTAACGCAGCAGTTTAAAATACTTAATGAATCTGCGGCTTAGTCTAGAATATGCTGGTATCTGATCGGCCTATGGTGGAGCAGTACGGCAAGAGATAAGGGCTTGCGTCTCGGTGATACTCCTCCATAGATCCCTACCGGAAGGGTGTGTGCCGCCTAAATACCGGGGGTATATATATATATATATATATATATATATATATATATATATATATATATATATATATATATATATATATATATATATATTTTTTAATAAAATAATAGTATAGGCTATTTAATGTGTTTTTTTGTTTATTTCGTAGAGACCTTAACATTTAAACTCACATTATTTATAAAAGTTTTTAAAGGTAAATAACACTATGTCCAACTACACATTAAAAAAAAATTATATAACGAATGGTAAACTTCAGCTATATAACGCTTCGTGGAAGGAAAAACGATTAAATACAGAACAATAATAATATACTAATCTTGGTTAAATAATGAAACATTTGAATATTTACTGATTACAAATTTAAAAAATGTTAAAACTCCTTTTTTTTATTTTTAAAGTTTGCACAGTCATGTAACAATAAAGTGTATGCAAAAACCGTCTTTTATTTTTGTTGCTGCCAACTTTTCGTTCATTACTTCTTTATACAATTGTTGCAGAAATTAATATAATGTAAGTGTTGGTTTACTAAAAAAGAACGTACTACGGCTATGAATATTAAGTTAGATGTGTCAAACAACTTTCTGATTGTTCTCTGCAGACATTTTGCGGTTTGGGTAACAAACGCTAAGCTGCAAGCTTTGTTACTTTTTAGTATTTACCTCACCAGCTTCACATTTACTTATTTATAAATTCACTTCGGATTAAAGTCGGCGTCTGCAATTCAGCGGCGAAATTTCCTAACTACTCGACATTTTTAATTAGCGTCTTTTTAAAGAGCAGTCACCGCTTCGGAGTAATTAAAATATATTTTCTCCCTGAATAAGTATCTAGCGGTATATAAATTAGTCACCTGAAACAACAGACTAGTTACGGCCGATCAATAAAGTGGAGCTACTCCACCTGTGACCCAATTTCCGAAATTCTAAGTTGAATGTACCAAGTTCTTTAATTTTCGAAACTGGAATTAGATCTACGCCAACTAATTTAAAAGACGCTGTCAATCTATCTGGTTTTATTTACTTTTTGTAAGCTAAACTTAAATACCAACTTTTAGATTTTGTAAAGCAACGCAAAACATCATAATTAAACAGTTAAAGAATAGTTGTAGTCTTTTTATACCTATATAAAACATTTATTTATGTAATACTATGAGTAAAGTGATAAGTATCGAACAAGACTAAGGTTATGAGTTAAGCCAACAATGTGAGTGAGGCTAGTGACAGGCAAGTTCAATAAAGACATTTACTGACGTGATACATACAAAATTATACTTTTAAAATAGGATCCTTTTTTTAATCCTTGATGGTAATATTATAGTGTTCTAATAATTCTGTACCTTAATACGAGAACAACCAATGTCATATTTTTGCCAAATTAAGATATCGCTGGCACCAAACTCAGTTTTGTTAAAATTTTTAGTAAAAGAACAACCATTGTGATATAATAATCTTTTAAGGGTCGTATAGAAGTTTTACGAAACCAATGTCAATTAGGATTTTGCACACTAATTTATACAATAACAACCAAACAAGACATTGGTTTGTAAACACAGAATTTTTTCTATGTAATAAGATTCTATTTCCAGATTGGTTGTTCTTGCGTATTGTGAATTGTGTTCAGGAGTGTAGTGCTGTTGTAAACATTGGATTATTTTCGAACTAACAGACTCCAAAAGAGAGGTTATAAACGTAATTAAAACGCAGAGTTGAATATTGGATTCTTTCTGTCCTAAAAACGTTAACTGTAATAGTGCAGTTGGTTTTTATTTGCTTTTTGTAAGTGACCTTGAATCAAAGAGCCAAATTTATAATTAGTTTGTGCTCAAACGAACAGGATACATTGGGTAAGTACATTTGAAAATTTACCAGAATTTCGACATATTGCTATTCATTACTGGTAGTGTATTATACAAAATTAATTATCTGTTAAAGCAGATGTTAAAGATAATTAAATAAATAAAGAAAATTTTAATTTAACTTCACATTTAGGTCAACAAAAAGATAAACACCTACATAGGAGGTAAAAGAAGCACAGAGAGTTGGAGATTTAATAAAAGTATGAGCAATAATAAGACAATAGACGTTATATCACCAATAACAACAGAACAAAGAGCAAAATTTGCTAACATGAAAGACAATACGATATGTATATGTATAAATTCATCACCATTACAAAGATAGTAATCAGTAAATCAGAGATGGAATAAATAACCAAATCCCTGAAAAATGGAAAATCCCCTGGTCCTGGTGACATCCCTGCAGAATTAGTGAAAGCCGGTACAGACAAACTCCAGCAACAGTTAAGATAACAATTTTTAGGACTGCTTGAATGATGCCGAATTACCAAAAGAATGCAAAATATCTATCATGTCAACTATCCACAAAAAGGGCAGCAAGGATCTGTGTGAAAATTACAGAGGAATTGCGGTAAACAGCACAATAAGTAGGATGTATGGGAAACTTATTAAAAACAAAATAGAAAATGACTATAGAGATTACGAAGCAGACGAGAAAGCTAGTTTTAGAGCTGGGCGATCCACAGTAGACCACTTGTACTCTATTACGCAAGTTATTGAGAAAAAAACAGCATTAAATAAAGAAGTTTACCTGGTTTACGTAGACTTACAAAAAGCATATGACAGTTTACCCCTAAGTAAACTATGGTCAACCCTACAGCAAACCAACATTAAGCATGGTCTTATCAAAGCAGTCCAAAGTCTGTATAATGGAACGACTACAAAAATTAAAACTGGATCAAGGATATCTGAAGGATTTAAGGTCACGAAAGGACTACAGCAGGGTTGCTGTATTTCGCCTACCCTTTTCAAAATTTATCTGGAACAAGCACTCAAGCTATGAAAAAGAAAATGTAATAGCATGGGAATCCCTCTCAATGACTAGACTACACTGTACACCTTATGTTTTGCTGTTGACCAAATACTGATTGCCCAGGATCATGACGACTTGAGTTACATGCCTCGGAAGCTAATAGAAAAATATAACAAATGGGTTCTCGAAGTCAACATTAAGAAAACTGAAGCCATGTGTATTAGAGGGATAAAACAGTCCATTATATTAGACGATGAGGTAGAAATTAGAAATTGTGATGAAAACAAGTAGTTGGGTATAAAGATAACTCAAGATGGAACACTCTTGTGTTCCATCGTGAGTTATCTTTAAAAATACGCTGCTATAAAAGACAGATACATACAGGGTAGAAAAGCCATATCCATGATGAACGGCATTTTGTGGGACCAAGCAATATCTAAAGCGAACAAACAACGCATATACAACACCATACTTAAAAGTGTAATTACATATGGCAGTCAAGTTTGGCCAATGAAACAAAGAACAAAGAAACTGTTACTAGCAACAGAAATGGACTTCTGGAGAAGAGCAGCACGCAAATAAAGAAGAGATCGGATACCAAATGAGAGAAAACGAGAAATGATGGGAATCAGGCATACAATAGTTGATGGCATCAAAACAAAACAGTTAATATGGTACTGCCATGTACAGAGAATGCCAGATGACAGGATTCCAAAACAGATTTTGACGTGGACACCACAAGGGAGAAGGAAAAGAGAAAGACCGAGAAGAAGCTGAAGAAAGGAAATTGAAAAAGAACTAGAGCAAAGAGAAATCCCTCCAGGCCTATGGTTGAATAGAGAAGAATGGCGGTTAGGAGTCGAAAGGCGTCGGAGAACGCTGTAAACCGATAGTAGTAGTAACTTCACATTTAGTACTTACTAATATGCAATCACTTATTGCGTCATATTAGACTTTCGAAAACAAATTTAGAAGTGGCACTATTTTTGTCACAATAATAATTATTATTATTTATGTTTATGTATAAAACAAAACAATATTCACAAATGATATGCTATGATTACCTAATTGCATTTTGAACTATAAGTGAATCATTTGAACTGTGTGTTTGTTTAATCTTACCATTTTTTTTTATCTTCTTTGCACTGGCACTATTATAGTATAGGATTACATTGTTGATACGATATTGTAAATTTGAGGAAAATTGTTAAGTGTGTGTTTTGTTTCAGTAAGCCAATTAGACGTAGGCCGTCAAATCAAACAAAGTGGATGTCATCCTGAAAATGAAGAGGGGCCAAGTACTTCAACTTCTGGAAATATTACTTCAGACAAAATTAGCTTTGGCCCTGATGTTAATATGTTATTTTTATCTTCTGATGAGTATATTCCTGAAACTAGTGTTTCTTAAGTGTTAACTTAAATAACAAAAAGTGTGACAATAAAGTACAAGGAAAGTCAAAAGGGCCTAAATCGAGAAAACGTATCAGAAGTGAAAAAATTGGATAAGAAATATCAGAAAAAGAGCTAAGGCTGAGGGCAAAGAATTTGTTAATAGCCTAAGAGAGAACGTAGCGGCCAAACGTCTACAGCCATCCTGTAAAGAAACATGTAAAAAGAAATGTAACGAAAAGTTTTCAGAAAATTATCGTGAAATTTTAATTACAAATTTTTAGTAGACATCAGTTGAAAATCAGAATCAATATTTGTGTGACCATTATGGAAGATAGGCCAAAAAAAACTGAACGAATAAGGACAGATAATTTAAGAAGTCGTCAATAATTTACTCGTAAATATTTTCTACAAAAAGAGGATACTCACGAGAGAATAGAAGTATGTCAGACAATTTTTATGAATACATTGTCAGTCATATGAACATTAGAACTATTATCGTAAAAAACGGCAATCAGCTGTATGTGCTCCAGAGGGAAGAGTCAAGCATGGATACCAATTGAAATAATCTTCTGATGCTAAAAAGTATGTAAAATCTCATATTCATATGTTTCTAGCAGTTAAAAGTCATTACTCTCGTAACAGAACAGAAAAGAAATATTTACGATCAGGCTTAAATATCTCCAAAATGTACAAGTTATACAAGCTTTACTGTAAAGAAAATGAAATTTTTGATATAATTAAAGAATATGTTTACAGAAAAATTTTTGTAAAAAAATTCAATTTAGCATTTCGTAAGCCAAAAAACGACACATGTACAAAGTGTAACCAGTACAAGATTATCATGTATTTAAGCAACAATGTCAAAGCAATATCTAATGCATCTGCTCTTTACAAAGAACATTTAGACCTAGCAGAATCTTCTTACGATGAAAAGGGAATGACAAACTAAAAAGTCCAAATGATTCTCAATATGCTTTTATTACGTTTGATTTCGAAAAATGTCTGTTAACACCATTATTGCAAAATAATGTGTCCTTCTATAAAAGGTCCTTATGTACTTATAATTTGACTTTTTTTCTGTTATTAAAAAAATATGATGCTACTTGCTTTATTTGGGATGAGACAATAGCACAACGTGCCGGAAAAGAGATATCTTCATATATACGGAAGATCTTGCTAAGTTTACCGAAAGAATTTAGGGAAATAAACATATTAAGTGATTCCTTTACTGGGCAAAACCAAAATATTTATGTTGCGCTAATGTATTTACATTTTTTAGAGTCCAATGCTTTCCATTCTCATATTAACTTCATTAAGAAGGGTACTTTGAAACTATCGATAAATTTGGATATTTGAACCACCAAGAGTTAGATTAACCGATAACTCGAACAGTCTATATCTTCTAGCAAGATTAAGTGAACCAAATATCTTTAAATCCATTAAACTACATCTTGATTTTCTAGACGACCAACCTGCTTTAGTATGTTACGAAGGATTCACCAACACAAGCGTTAAACTTTTTCTGTCTTCCGAAGAACTTCCCACTTAGACTGAAGATCTACGAAAAATACTTCTAGATTTAACGATGCGTATGGAATTGGCAAAACCGAGGTGGAAGCTGATCTTGCTGCTTTTAGGTTCTTTTTCACTTTAAAAAGAATTATTTACCTACAAAAATCAAGGAAAAGTTACCAAAACTACTATTCCGTTGCCTCTCCAAAACGAAATTTTTAAATAATATAATGTGTTCTGTGGGACTTGGAATCTCAAATTATAATAGTGATGACAACTTTAGCATGGGTCTGATTAATATTCGTTCTATAAGATATAAAACTGATAAAATATTTTTATTGTTCTGAAGCTATTTTCTTGTGGCATTTTAAATTAATCACTATTTAACTGGGAATAAGCCACAATTAAAGATAAAAATATGTTTATTGACGTTTCAATTTCCACTTCGGAAATCGTTCTCAAAATACAAACAGTAAATTAAACAAATTTTGGTTTTTGTTACATAGTGAAAAATTCTTCTAATAATTTAATTCTATCTGACTCATTTATATTGACAATATTGTTGAGCTGCGCTCCGTTGTTGAGCTGGGACGACTTTGCTTATAAGATAGTTCATTCGATTACATGAAATCAACTTTAACTTGAGAATATCCGTCAAAAAAAATCATACCATGTAATTCGTCTTTAAAAAGACAAACTCATGACATAATGACAGTAAAATTCTCCTGTTAGTGATTCCATAGTAAATTATGAGGGAAAAACCAGGAAAAAAACCTCATATTACTATCTCGACATGGTAAGTATTTGTTCGTGCATTTAGTTTACCTTTAATAAACACCAAAATTCTGATTTTAAATGTTTCGTTATTTAAAAAACATAAATGATATATCCTCTATATGTTACTGACTTACTAATACTGGTATTTTCTTATTAATAACTTCCTCTTTCAATATTGGTAACCAGATCCTACTACATTCTGCCGAGGAATTTGCGACACAATTAGCCTCATTTAGCATAATTAGAGCCGCTTCTTTGATTTTTCTTTTTTTACCATCCGTTTCTTTTAGGACTACATTTGAATTATTTAATAGAATAATGGTATAATGAGCAATGGGTAGTAACTTACAGCTCAGTATTACTCATAACATTGCTTTTTACTTGAAGTTGAGATGCTAGATAACCAAAAACACACAAATCTGTCTCTGGTGCGTGTAACGAAAGATATTAATAAGAGATTACGAGTATTACAAATGAAAAAATAAAAAGTATAGCAAAATGTGAGAATTGCTACAAAAATAGTAGAATTAATATGTCATCCTGTAGAAATTGAATGTTAAAAAATAAAATCGAGTTTTGCTTTGTTTTTTTTTTGTTTTTTTTTTTTATTTTTACTTTACTCGAAACGTTTAAGTGACCAATTTAATCAAATGCATATCAGAGAAATGTTTTGTAGATTTGCTCCAAAATAAAAACGATTATATTTTTTACTAAACCGCAACTTTCTTTGTAATAAAAGAAAAGTTTATGTAAGTAATTTTATTCGAGATAATCTATTTTTCTTTTACGCAGGGACCCGCCAGAGTGGCAATAAAATATTATGGGATCGTATAACTTTTTATAAAGTGTTATTATTTATTGAATTACAGCAAAACAACGTCAAAGAAATTTTATTAAATTTTAGGAGCCAGATAAATAAAATAAGTAAAAATGAATAACAAAAAAAGAATGGAGTATATTAGGTTTTTTGTACAATTCTCTAATTTATTTTCTGTAGTTACGCAGTAGCTTATAACTAGAGAGTGAAAGCCAGTACTACTAGTTTATATATATATATATATATATATATATATATATATATATATATTTATGTATATATATATATTATATATATATATATAAATATATATATATATATATATATAAATATATATATATATATATATATATATATATATATATTTATATATTTGTATATAAATATATAAATATATATATATATATATATATATATATATATATAAATCAATTATTAGTGTCGTCATGCCTTATGACAATAAAACCGAAAATTGGATTTGTGGGTGAGGATATAAATATGTCGACGACAACTAAGTACATGTTTTTATTCTGGATTGGTAGTTTCTATTCGCAAAAATAATATTGATAAAGTTAGTTTTAGCCCTAAAGATAAAAGTTCTTTTTCTATTAACTTAAGCAAAATACTGCAAGATGCATTGGATATTAAGAGTCTTTTACTAGCAGCAATTAGTCTACGGACTTTAATTTGTATATTTTTTACAGTAACTAAACTTAAGTTGCTTGATGAAAAACAAATATGTTTTGGACTATTTAAAGAGCTTATAGCTAACAAGTACTCTTTTTATTTGATATTATTTAGAAAATTTAAAATTATTGCTTGTTGTTTGAATGGAAAGGTGGTTCTCGTTGTTTACTGGCTGAAGTTGAGTAAGATAAAGATGGTTGTAAAGTAGTTCGATATAATAATTCATCGTTATTTTCAGTAACATCAAGTTCCATTTTTAATTACCATTTAATTATCTTTACTACGAAGCTTTTGCTAATAAATGATGAACACCTGAATAACATCAGATATGCAAATGACACCATCTCTTTGCAGACAGTTTAGAAGGTTTATTTATTATATTTAAAGTACATGGTCATCAGTAAGAAGAATATTCCACATAGTCAATTACTGGTAGATCAGCAAGAAATACTCTAAGTGCCCCATTAATACTATTTAGGACCCACCATAAACGACCAACGGAACCACTCAGTTGAGATAAAACAAAGATTTGAAAAAGGCAGTTCAGCGTTTGTCAGAATAAGCAAGATATTTAAGAGCCACGACTTACCCTTACAAACAAAAATCTTTTTATTGAGATGCTTCTTGTTTACAGTGCTGCTCTATGGAGTTGAATCATGGACACTAATCGAGGCATCATGGGAAAACTCAAGGCGTTTGAGATGGATCTATTAAATTAAATAGAGTGTCTTCCAGTGAATGTACTATTTTCGGTTATACTTACCTAAAATATTCCCCAACTTCATTATTTTATCTGCACCTGGACTTTGTTTTAAAAAGCGATATAAGTAAGAACTATAATCGATAATTAATAATGTAGTTAGAATTTATGATCTTAATGAGAGTTTTTGTAGTTAAGTGAATTAGAAAAAAGTTAGTTAAAATGGTTTAATTTCTTAATTATATTAAAAAAAAATAATAAGCCTACACTGTTAGGGCATATCTGTTTTGACTGCGGGTTTATAAAGATTAATAAAAATAATGTTCATCAATAATTTTTTTAACATGCTACAGATAACATTACAAACCCATTTTTTTTTCTTATATACTCGTATTTCTTTTTACACATCGACAATTGGTAACACATTACTTACATTACTTACAATATGGTAATAACCAGACTTACACTACATTTTATAGTTTCGTTAGGTCAATTTTTAATCTTACGGAATCGCTTTCTTTCT